AGGGCAAGGCAACAATCAGCATCAACCAGTCCCGAAGAACAAATGGAGAAGCTAAGGAAAGAATTAGAGGAATCTCAAGCCCAACTTATAATGGCCAACAGAGTTTTAGAACATACCCAAGTGCAGTTGAGAAGGGAGAAGAAAAAGAATGAGAAACTAGAGGAAGCCATAGACGCCCTTGATAGGATTAGGGAAGAAGCTCGTAAGCTCAGTTTAGGGAGCTTTAGAGAGTCACAAAGTACAAGTCTCTTGAGACATAGGGATTTTGTAAACATGGTTACTAAGACCATTGACGAGATTGTAAAGAAAAATTGAACTCTTCCACATTTTATGAGAAGCTTTCCATTTCAAAATTCTAAATTCACTTACAGGTTTGGAAATGGGATTTTACCCCGAAGGCTTGCATCATGCTAGGCCTACCCTTGGTACAAAAAGGGTCCCCCCATAGGACATGCATCTGAATTGTTGAACAATTACTAACTCATGTCTTTTTCTTTTTCTCTTTTGAATAAGTTGCAGAAATCTAGTAACGATTGGTTTATCTAAAGATGTCTTTTGCATCCTCAGGTAAAGTTTCAAAATAGCTTCTCGGAAAAGCCCCATTATTATGCGATCCCGAAGTAAAGCCCAAAGGAATCGTGTAGATATGAGTACTCAGCCAGAATCGTCTGATAAGACTGCTGCAACTACCCAGCCGGAAGCCACAAGTCCCGGGGTTCAGTTGATTGAATTACTCACCAAATTTGGGGAAATGGCGTCTGAGATGGCCGCCCAAAAGAAGTTGATCGACGAGCTCATTAGTAGCGGAGTGCAGCCCGAGCCTGCGCCTGTCAAACAACCGAAATCCGAATCATTTGTCATTCCTCCAATTCAAACTTATTTTGAGGGAGTTTTCAACCCGCAGTATACTTATAATCAAAATCCTCCGTTCTATCCTTCCTATGGGCAAGGATTTCAGTCTCAAGGTGGTCCAAACATGCCTTTGGATCCACAAACTTTTTATCAGACTACCGCAGAGCCTATTGTGCCAGAGCACACTGTTCAAACCAAGCCAGAAGTGGAAGAGTCGTCTGCCCCTGTGGATATGAAGCTACTTAAGCGGTTGGATCGTTTTGATGAGTTCATCAGGAAAAGCCAAGGTTTAATGTAACGACCCCACCTCCCCCTAAGGCGTACCAGAGGGTTCGGCGGGCCGTCTGCCCAGCTCTCGCCAGGACTCGGTCAAACACTACAGTCCTCGAACAAATTACAATATAAAACTCAAATATATACCAACTTAACCAATGATTACACGTCGAGAGCGAAGCGTCCACGCATCCGCTGCGCTACTTTGATCCATGGGAAGTCCAACACTAGACTATTACACATCCAATCAATTCCAAACGTTCAATACAATCCCTAATATGAACTATTACACAACAGGAAATCCAAATTCAAACTGTACACAAGATAATCTATCCACTCGCATGAATAAGCACTACAAGCCTTCGCTTTGCCTTGAGCCCTGTGCAGGGGAATAAAACATTTTGGGGTGAGCTAGAAGCTCAGCGAGTAACCAATAAAATCAATTATCAAATCAGTTTCACAAACATTCATTTCGATAATGTCATGATTCAATAATCAATGCACTTTCATTTCTCTCGTGAGCCAGTGAAATCATGGTACTTAGACGTCCAACGCTCCAAACAATCATTTAACATTAAACACTTAACATTGAACATTGAGAAAGAGCCCATTGGTGCTCTACAGGAACATTAAACGGTGGAGGAGACGTTGGGGTCCAGCACACGAATTCCAAGTACTCATTTGAGCCAAAACATGTCAAGAACTTATATGCCGGCACACAGGATATGCAATCAAAGAAACAATGCAAGAAACATTTCAAAGGTAACGTTGGAAATCGTTTGAGGTCACTCACCTCCACGGCTCACAATCCTCGTCCAATATAGCCAATTTCATCGTTCAAGTCCAAGCCGTTTAACTTAACTCAAAGCAACCAACGCTATCCAAAATCGGACAGCATTTCCCCTTAATTCCTTTATTTTTCCAACTACAAACAAACCCAATCACATAGCAATTAACCACAATTGCTCATACAATTCACAAACGATAAAACATATCCAATTAGGGCCTTAATACCCCTCAATTGAGCCAATTAGAAGCTCATAAGCCAACCTTGGAAAAATTCCCAAATTGAAACCCTAAAACCAGAAATTATATCATAAGCGTAAATTTTCCGCAAACGATCACAATTAATGCACAATCACTTCATTTAACACCATTTCAATCCATCAATTCAAGCCAACTAACCATAATCATAGTAAATCAGAAAAATATCCAATAAATCAGAAATTGGACCAACTTATCTCAAACCCATGAAATACTCCACAAAATAATACACATGGCCACTACAAACCACTAATTAACCAATATTAGAACCAAAGGAAACTTGTTTATTCAACTCACCTAAAATTCAAGAGAGCTATCAACCTAGAGCTTCCCTTCAAAAACCTATCCATCACAAGCTTTAATCCACCATAGCAAACCCTTGTGTGAAGTAGCTTCCAAAACCATCGGTTGAAACCCAAGATATTTGCAAAGATTGAAATTAGGAAATTTGAGAGTTTTCTCTCTATGAAGCTCGGTTGAGCAGGGGCAAAAATGAAGAGCAAAAGCAGCCAAAACAAGATCTTTATCAAGGAAACAGCCGGTCAAAGCTGCTGACCGGCTGTGCCACGTCAGAATCCGGCCAGTTTCTGGCCGGATTCCTGGCCGGATATGAGGCCGAGACTGAATCATTTTCTTTCAAAATTGCAAGGCAATCCGGCCAGCTATCCGGCCAGTTCCTGGCCGGATTTTCGGCCGGATTTGGCCCTTTCCTTTTTCCAAAATTTTTTTGTTTCTTATCCGAGGTGAAAAACTGTTTTACTCCACTCATCCAACAAAGATTTCTACCAAAGAAAAACCTCCTTCTTGCGGGGCGTCACATTTAAGCAAACAAGGGGTGTTAGACTACGATGATCTATGCCTGTTTCCAAATGTATAGCTGCCCGTAGGGTTCAAGACCCCGAAGTTCAATAAATATGATGGTACAAGCAACCCTAAGACACACTTGCGTTTGTTTACCAACAAGTTGGGTAGACCAGTGGATGACGAAAACTTGCCATTAAGGTTATTGCCAGAGAGTCTAGAAGGAGACGCCCTCGATTGGTATTCCAACTTAAAGCCAGAGGAGGTGAAGATTTGGCTTGATCTATCCAACGCCTTCATCAGACAATACGAATATAACTGCGAGCTAGCACCGACCAGAACTACTTTGGAAGGCACAAAGAGGCGACCATCTGAAGATCATAAGACATACGCCAAAAGATGGAGAAAGATAGCTGCCAAGGTTGAGCCTCCGATGACCGAAGATGAAATTGTTCGCACTTTCATAAAGGCGCATGATCCTCCACACTTTGAAGAAATCTTCCGTATGACCGGATGTTCATTTGCTGCGATTGTGAATAAACTCGAAGAGTATGATGATTTTGTGAGATCCGAAAAAATTGTTAACGTCTCTGCCTTCAAATCACAAGTAGAACCTTTGCAAGGGCAAGGGAGCAGTGGAAAGAAGCCACAGTTTAAAAAAAAAGAGGGGGATGCAACTTTTATCTGGAACCAGAACCCTTCATCCAAACCCCGATACCAACACAATCTAACATACCAACCACATTACCCTTATTATTCAAACCCGCACCATGTATATACTACCAATATCCACCACCCTCGACCTCGCCCAAGCTATCCTAACCCACCTTTAGCTTCTTTTCAAATTTCTCAACCAAATCCACCCCAAAACTGATCTCGCCCTCCGTATAACCCAAGATTTCCTTCCCCAAATAGACCTGTTTATAGCCATCATCAACCTCCTGAACCTTCCAACCAAGCCCGTAGCCGTACATTTACCGATTTAGGCAGGCCTCTAGACCAATTGTATGACCAGTTGAAGGCTGCCAGAAAAATTGGTATGGTACCCCCTCCGACCTATCCATATGGCATATTCGTTGGGTATAACCCACAAGCCGTCTGTGCTTATCATTCAGGGGCACCCGGACATTCAACTGTTGATTGCAAGGCTCTTAAGCATAGAATTCAAGATATGATTGAAGCTGGAGAGATTGTAGTCAGGAAAAGGGAGGCACAAGGGCCGAATATTGTTGAAGATATGTGATCTGATATTATGGAAAGATTTGCTAATATAAATATTAGGAAAGATTTGATTATAGTATCATATATTAATTAGGTATCATATGATTATAGTATCATATATTAATTAGGTAATAGTATGATTATAGTATCATATGATTATAGTATCCACTTGTGTATATATATATATTTGTATATTGTGTAGTCCAAGGTGAAATAGAAGAAAAATATTTTTTCTCTCCATTTTTCTTAGTTTACATGGTATCAGAGCCTGTCTAGGGTTCTGGAAAAAATACCACCTTTGCTTCTTGTCAATTCCAGCCTTAATTGCTGGTTCCTTTCTTATTCTCTCCAGCCTTCATTGCTATTCCTGTTACTATACATTTTTTCCCCCTCCTATTCAATCATGGCGGATGCTACATCCTCAACGCGGCAATTGTCTTCAACTATGGAAGAAGAACAAAGTACACGGAACACAACAGAGCTTCAAAACATCCAGGCAGCATATAGACTAAATGGAAAAAATTATTTGAAGTGGTCTCAATTGGTTCGAACATTCCTGAAAGGAAAAGGAAAGTTGAGTCATCTATTGAAAATAGCACCGGATAGTGAAACGGCGGGGTTTGAAGCATGGGAACAAGAGGATTCAATGATCATGTCTTGGTTATGGAATTCCATGATTCCTGAAATCAGCGATACATGTATGTTTCTTCCTACAGCAAAGGCAATTTGGGATGCCCTTCATCAGACATATTCCAAGGTTAATGATGCAGCTCTTATCTATGACATCAAGACAAAGACAACTGGAGTAAAACAAGGGACAAAAACAGTGACGGAGTATGCCAATTTTCTGCAAAACCAGTGGCAGGAACTGGATTATTACAGGGCACTTGATTTGAACTGTAGCAAATGTGCAGTGTTTATCAAGAAGTTCATAGAAAGGGATCGAGTTTAAGATTTTTTGGCTGGCCTAAACTCTGAATTCGATCTTGTACGAATTCAAATTCTGGGCAGGCCAGAGTTTCCTTCTTTAACAGAAGCAATATCCCAAGTACGTGGAGAAGAAAGTCGCAGGGGTATTATGTTAGAGCTCCCTTCAATAGAAAATTCAGCCCTTTTAAGTTCCAAATCTCAGCGGTTGGTACTGAACAAGGTTGCTGCGGACAAGACCAATCAAACAAGTGGGCAAAAGAATCGCAAGGAGTTGTGGTGTACATACTGCAAGAAACCACGACACACCATAGATCAATGCTGGAAACTACATGGGAAACCACCCACTCGTGAATGGGGACAAAAAGGTGGCCAGCAAAGGCAGGCTCATATGTCGGTTCAAGATCCAACTCAAGTGATTGGAGGGTTTAGTATGGAGGAAATTGAAAAGCTTAAAAGTATGTTGGAGACAGTTGACAAACCAGCAACTAACAATTCTCAATCAAGGAATCCGGGTATGTGTTCATTGACACTTTCAGGTAAGGCTCTAGTCTCTTTTGCATTTAGTGTTTTAGGCAATGAGCTTAGGAATGTCTGGATTCTTGACTCTGGTGCTACGGACCATATGACTCATATTTCAAATAAATTCAAAACCTATAATCCCTGTCCTAGCAATAGAAAGATTGTTGTTGCAGATGGTACTACAACCACTGTGGCAGGTATCGGAGATGTCCAAGTTACTCCAAATTTGATTTTTAAAAATGTTCTTCATGTTCCTCGATTATCTACAAATTTGATTTCTGTAAAAAAACTTGCCAAGGATCTAGCTGGCTCTGTTATATTTGATGAATCCTGTTGTGACTTTCAGGACCGGGGCTCGGGGAAGAGGATTGGACTAGCTAAGGAGCATGATGGACTCTATTACTTGGATACATCAAGTCAACCAGAATTTAGTAAATCTGCCCTGTCCACATTGTCTTCACCCTCCAATAAAGATGTCATCTGGTTACATCATAGACGTCTAGGTCATGTGTCTTTTTCTGCATTAAAAATAATGTTTCCTTCCTTGTTCAAGGGATTTGATGTTCAGTCTTTTCATTGTGATATTTGCGAGTATGCTAAACACACTCGTGCATCATTTCCTATCAGTAATAAACGATCGTCTTCTCCTTTCTTTTTAATCCATAGTGATATTTGGGGGCCATCAACTATTCTAAACATCTCAGGGTCTAAGTGGTTTGTCACATTTATCGATGACTGCACAAGAGTCTCTTGGATCTATTTACTCAAAAATAAGTCTGATTTGAGTTATATTTTTCCTGTTTTTCATGCAATGATTCAAAATCAATTTGGCACCAAGATAAAACACTTTCGTTCAGATAATGCTCATGATTATTTCAATCAAACCTTGAGTCAGTTTTTCCAAAAAGAAGGAATCATACATGAATCATCCTGTATTACCACTCCACAACAAAATGGAGTGGCAGAACGGAAAAACCGACATCTTCTTGAGTGCCCTAGAGCCTTACTGTTTGAACAAAGTGTGCCAAAAGCATATTGGGGAGAAGCTGTACTCACATCAGCTTATGTCATAAATAGAATTCCTTCCAAGGTCTTGGGGTTTCAAAGTCCACTAGAGAACCTATCCAAATTTTACCCCGATATTCGATCTTCCTTTAATCTCACTCCTCGAGTTTTTGGATGTACTTCCTTTGTTCATGTCCATAGTCATAACCGTGGGAAGTTAGATCCTCGTACTCTTAAGTGTGTCTTCGTGGGGTACTCATCTACTCAAAAGGGTTACAAATGTTATCATCCACCTACTAGAAAACTCTATGTCTCGGCAGATGTTACATTTGTTGAAAATAAGCCCTATCTCATCACTCCTTATCTTCAGGGGGAGTTAGATACACTTGAAGATAAGGAGTTAAAATTTCCCTCCTTAGAGTTGACCACATCTGAGTCATCCAAATCTGAATTCCAAGAGTCAATTCTTCAATCTGATGTGGTAGAAGAAAAAAAGGAAGACCGTAAAATCTATGACTGGTTCCGGTTTGACTAAGTGTATACAAGGAAAGGAGATCCCATCATGGTTACAAGGCAAGAACAATCCTCTAAACCAAGCTCCGGGAATGAGATAACAATGAGTGAATCAAATCTGAATTCTACACCATCGACCGACCATTCTTCGAGCTCTAAATCACCTTGTCCTGAGCCTTTTAGCCTTGACCAGGACCTACATCTACCTATTGCTGTAAGGAAAAAATCCCGAGAATGCACCAAAAGACCCCTATATCCATTGTCTCACTTTGTGTTTTTTGAGAAGTTTTCCCCGAGCCATCAAAGCTTCCTTTCCACCTTAAATACAGTCTCTATTCCTAGCTCATTGTCTGAAGCATTATCAAAGAAAGAATGGAGACTTGCTATGGAAGTAGAAATGGATGCATTAGAGAAGAATGGGACCTGGGAATTAGTTGATTTATCAAAGAACAAGAAAGTAGTGGGCTGTAAATGGGTGTATGCAGTAAAGTTTAAAGCAGATGGGTCCCTAGAACGCTACAAGGCAAGGTTAGTCGCGAAAGGATACACACAGACATATGGAGTAGATTATCGGGAAACATTTGCTCCAGTAGCAAAGATGAATACAGTGAGAATTCTGCTATCCTTGGCTGTTAATTTTGATTGGGAATTACAGCAATACGATGTGAAGAATGCTTTTCTTCATGGAGAGTTAGAAGAGGAGATTTATATGAGCATTCCACCGGGATTCAGTGGGGTTGACAAGAACAAGGTTTGTCGGTTAAAAAAGGCATTATATGGGCTGAAACAATCCCCACGTGCTTGGTTTGGACGATTTGCCAAGGTAATGATAGCTAATGGTTACAAGCAAAGTCAAGGAGATCATACCCTGTTCATCAAGCATTCAGCCTTGGGGGGAGTTACTGTTTTGATTGTATACGTAGATGACATCATATTGACAGGAAACGATGAAGTAGAGAAGAAAACTTTGAAGTGGTGCCTAGCCAAGGAATTTGAAATAAAGGATTTAGGAAAATTGAAGTATTTTCTGGGAATTGAAGTGGCTCGATCAAGGCAGGGAATTTTTATTTCTCAACAGAAGTATGTTATGGACCTGCTCAAGGAAACAGGCATGACAGCAAGCAAACCAGTTGGAACTCCCATTGAGCAGAATCACAAATTAAGTGAGGCTCATGGAGATACAGCTGTGGACAGAGAGATGTACCAAAGACTTGTTGGGAAACTTATTTATCTCGCACATACTAGGCCAGATATAGCTTACTCAGTCAGTGTTATTAGTCAGTTTATGCATGATCCTAGAGCAGTTCATCTACAAGTAGTTTATCAAGTGCTTCATTACTTAAAGGCACATCCAGGGAAGGGAATTTTATTCAAAAAGGGTCCTGAAATTGATCTGGCAGTTTACACAGATGCAGACTTTGCAGGGTCTCCAGTTGACAGGCGATCAACTTCAGGATATTGTACATTTCTTGGAGGAAACTTAATATCCTGGAGAAGCAAGAAACAAAGTGTGGTAGCAAGGTCAAGTGCTGAAGCAGAGTTCAGGGCTATGGCAGCAGGGGTATGTGAATTATTGTGGGTTAAAATTATCCTAGAAGACTTGAGGATTCAATGGAGCAAATCGATGAAGCTATATTGTGATAACAAATCTGCTATAAGTATAGCTCACAACCCAGTGCAACATGATCGGACAAAGCACATAGAGATAGACAGGCACTTTATTAAAGAGAAGCTAGAAAGTGGACTGATTTGTACTCCATATGTTCCGACAGGACTTCAACTTGCAGATGTGATGACAAAGGGACTGTGTAGCAACATGTTTCATGAAAGTGTTGTCAAGCTGGGAATGGAAGATCTATATTCACCAGTTTGAGGGGGAGTGTTGAAGATATGTGATCTGATATTATGGAAAGATTTGCTAATATAAATATTAGGAAAGATTTGATTATAGTATCATATATTAATTAGGTATCATATGATTATAGTATCATATATTAATTAGGTAATAGTATGATTATAGTATCATATGATTATAGTATCCACTTGTGTATATATATTTTTGTATATTGTGTAGTCCAAGGTGAAATAGAAGAAAAATATTTTTTCTCTCCATTTTTCTTAGGAACCCCTTGTCGGAACATACTAATACCATTGGGGTTATTCTGGACAACGCAGAGCATAAGGAGTAAGTCCAAAAATTGGCAAGGAAAGCTGAGGTGTTTGGGGTCACAGACCAACCATTTGTAATAGAGGTGTCGTTTAAGGAAGATAAAAGGCCTTTTATTTTGGATTTCACTCTAGCTGAGAGCGAGGCTTTGGAGCCAGTGGTCATCAAATTCCCAGAGCAGGAGCCTGTTCTAAGTTTGCAGCGAGTGCCATGGAACTACGATGAACCTGTCATACAAATTGGAAAAAAGTCAGTTGCCAAAGAAGAGGTGTCAGTGGTCACTAGATTAGGGAGAATTGCAAGTCCGTTTGGAGCTACCGTTCCGATTCAAACAAATAACCCCGAGCTGCCCGCTAAACCAACAATTACTGAGAAGGAAGCCTTGGATTTTTTTAAAATGCTCCAAAGAAGCGAATATAATGTAGTCGAGAAGCTAAGCAAGTCGCCCGCCCAAATATCCATGTTGGATCTGCTCTTTTCTTCGAATATGCATAGGGATGCGTTGCTCAAAGTGTTGACTAAAGCTCAAATCCCTAAGGATATTTCGGTTGTTAATTTCTCACATATAGTTGGGAGTGTGTTATTTACAAAACAAATCACTTTCTCTGATGATGAATTACCAGCAGAAGGCATTGGACATAACAAAGCTCTGTACATAGCTGTGAGGTGCAACGGGAAAATGTTGCCAAAGGTGTTGATTGACAATGGATCTGCGCTTAATATTTGTCCTTGGAGTACCTTGAAAAAGCTAGGATTGCAAGATATCAAGCTAAGGCCTTCAAGGACTATAGTTAGAGGTTTTGATGGAGCACAAAGAGAACCTATAGGAGAAGTGGATTTAGTAGTCGAGATGGGGCCCACACAGTTTCAAATAGCCTGCCAAGTTATGCACTTTCCTAGTATTTACAATATTTTGCTTGGAAGGCCGTGGATTCATAAGTCCGGGGCTGTGCCTTCTTCATTGCATCAATGGTTGAAATTCATAGTAAATGACAAATTGATAACTATTTTTGCCGAGAAAGATTGCCTCGTAATTGCTGATTCTGGGTCCGAAGAAAATGGTAGCCGAAACGCCACAGTGACCCCTCATAGTACAGCTGATATCATCTCCGTAAGTTGGATAACAAAAGAGAAACGAGCTCTGTCAAAGGCCAGTGTCATGATGGCTAAGGAAATGATCCGCGGAGGATATGAGTTTGACAAAGGGCTGGGACGTGATCTACAAGAAATTCTGAAACCAGTGGAAATTGTGGAGAAAAAGGATTCATTCGGTTTGAGTTTCCGACCAACCGCTAAAGACATCAAAGAAATGAAGGAACGCAAGAAAGCAGAGAAAGAAGGCAGGCAAAAGACCTTTGATATTCCACCACTGCATTATACTTTTCCACGACCAACCGAGGTGATCACTCAGAGATTAACCCAGTTGACGAAATCGAAACTAGTTTGGCCCAATTGTTCGTTGGGGCAACATTTGAAGACAGTTTCCCAGATGAGACCGAGTTTCCCGACATCCCTGAAGGATCAATTTCCAATTGGACAGCCAAGTTTCTGCCCATTCAGAAGGAGTTTCGGTAAAACTAAAGGGGTTTGTCATTCATGCGAATTCATGAAAATACTTCTGCATCTGTAAATAGCTAATGAAAGCATCTTTATCTTTGACTAAAATTTGCGCATGTAAATATTGTTTCCGTTTGCTTTCTTTTTGTTTTCGCTTTCAGTCAAAGATTTTATGAAAATGCACAAGTGGTTCTTGTCATGTTGTTTTGTTTATTCGTTTGTCATATTGCTTATTCATTTGTTTGTTGTATGTTTGTTTGCTTATTATCCCACATTCGTTAATTCTTTCAGATGACCAACAATAAAACTATTTGACCCTTTGGATATCACTATTCTGGAATTCAATAATGGCAATCTCTATAT